ACTTCCAAACCATACTTCATTGCTTCCATTCATTAACCATAAGTGCTTAGTCACCAACATGTAAAATACTAGACATGCCTGACCTTACCTGTTTACTTCATTCCATAAATTCTGTGAAACATTTATTTGTTCTATCATTATCTTCATTATCAATGTAATTATTATTGACACTAACATTAGCATGCCATTATTAATAATACTAATAGTAATGAAAATACATTTTTCAAAATAAAAAATTCAAGGTGAGATCAGGAACTAACTTGCTAGTGCCTACACACTTGGGGAGCCACCTGTGTGTGCACAAAATTAATAAGCTAAAACTGCAGTTGTTTTTTCGATTGAGACAATCGGGACTTCCCAGACAAAATTTATATCATCAGATTTATTCTCGTGTGACGAGAAAGAGTCTGATGATAATTTCCGTAGCAATCACAGCCAACGATCTTGATGTGTTAAGTCCCAATAGTAGGGGAGGGCATGAAGTATATCAGGGAAATTATGGGGTAAAACGGTTTAAATAAGAAACATACGGAACAGAAATGCATAAGACTAGCACAAAAAATGTTAAAAATCTGCTAATGAAACTCTACAGATATGCCCACCAACTCTGAAAGTCTACGCATCGATGCACCAAAATTCGACCCTACAGACCTTCCAAACACCCAAAAGATGTCCTATCCCATAACCCAACCTAGCCTAGCAATTTACGGTGCTGTGACTAGGCATGAACTTCAGGTACTGCTCGAGGGGAGGGTTGATGGGGGGGCTCTGCCCCCCAACACCCCCCAGGACACATTCTTTTCACCTCGGTATGTAAAGCAAGATAGAGCTACATCCATACTGTAAACAATAAACCAAATGCCTTTATATATCGAAACACCGAACTGTCCAACTTCCCTTCATTTGTTTTGGTCAGTCTATTGTATGGATCACTTTGTTTCTAATCACGTTTTCCTGCATTTGGGGGACTTGACGGGCCCAGATATCAAATTACGATAGTTATAGAGGTCTATTTCTTCTTTGTTGCCACTGCATAGTCTTAAGAATAACCCAGAATCAATCTGGCTGCTAGAAACGCGAAAATGCGCATGTGCAGAAGGTTCTTCAGACCGATTCCTGTAAATCCCTGCATAATAAATCTTAGGACACATCAATGAGATATAACAACATTAACAAAGGCCTTTGAAAGCATAAATGGGTAACAGCAAACACTGATAATTAGCCAAATGTCATTTTGATAAATGCGTATTAATACATAAACTACTTGAGAGAGCACAGGATTGAGTTAAGTGGTCATGATTTTTTTACATTCGCAATGTCAACAGGGCAAAATCAGAAAAAGATGGGTCAATCTTCTCTCTTCTCTGTCATGTATCTCCTTTATTTTCGATTTGCGCACCTTATGCCACATATGAAAAGTGTCTTAGTTTACGTCAAGGTAATCATTACATACACTTTTTTTTTACCATAACCCCGATTGTTATCTGCGGTAAATTTACCAAAACTACAGTGGATAACGCATGTTAAGTGTTCTCCCAGCCTCAACTGGAGAAAAGTGAGTAATGTTTACAAGACAGTTGGAATGGCTTTTAAAACAGGACAGTAATATCTACACTAGTTTTATTTGTATCTAAATTTCATCTTAATTTGTTGTAATCTGGATGTAATTTTAACCCCATAGCAGTCCAGTCACTTTCTGTGCATGATATATCACATCTTAAACTGTGCAATCTTGTTGTCATACATATAATAATTTTTAACATTTTGGGATTAGCCTTGCTAAAATATAGATACTTTTAAGGTTTTTATCAGGTAACTAAATGTTCTATAACATTTAGATGGACAGACTGATCACCATAAATTAAATTTCCATTGGAAACTTCTTTTCCCAATTTAAATTCTAATTTTTAAAGTATTTTTTCTTCTAATGAGGAACTCTTACTTTGGAAAAGGAATGTGCATATTTGAAAGTGTGTATAATATTAATAATGAGTTGACTATTATTAGTATGCACATTCCTTAAAAAGAAATGGACTCTGATTACAATACACAATCACTGTATCCAAAATTAGTTACCACTATTGTATAACTACCACCTGGACAAAATACTAAGCATGCACTGATAAAAGGGAATGAATCGAGACTGGGTTCCTAGCACATTAATGACTGTTTATCCAGCGCTCCTAGAACATTATCTGTATTGTAAGAGGCCATCAAAGGCACACACATTTCAACAGATGATGACACTTCTCCACAGCACACACCATAGACACTTCATAAGCTCTAGTCATTCAGAGACTACTCATATGTCATGTCTGACCTTGAAACAACCTTTACAGTCAGCTGATCAAAATGAACTCAACAATAACCCACTGTCCAACTACTGCCATGACCGAGCACCTTCAGCACTTAAGAAAAGGGAAGGAAGGAAGAGGGAAAATAAAAATATAGGAAAGATAGACCTTGGGCTGATTCTTAATCTAGCGGCAAATCAACATGGATATCTACATGCTATTATCTTCTGAGAAAATGAGTGATAAAGGTTTGTTGGCCTTTGCAGGAGTACCAAAGAAGTGCATGCCAACTATTTATACAAGAGCGTCTTGTAAAACTTTACACTGGCAATTTGTGTAGCTAGACAGGACATAGCAAATATACTCAATAAAGACCAGTCTTGAATGCCACTTTCAGTGTCTCTTAAACACTTATCAACGTGAAAGTGAATAAAATGTGAAAGTGAAAAAAAAGACAAAACAAACAAGGAAATCAATATCAAAATATCACTAATGGTAATCATTGAAAAATCCATACTATTGTTTATTTCACTTTGCCTCAAGTGAAAATCTTAATACTGACAAGACTAATGCACTGATCTTGTACCCAATCATTTTCTATACAATTTCATTTTTCTTGAACAATAGCCATTAAGGTGAGATGGAAGGCTTTGAATTAAAATCAGTAATGTGCAAAAAATTGGACGTGTTATTATCACTATAGGTTGGACAAACCCATTCTAGTGAAGTCAATGATTTACAATTAGCCAGTGCTTAGAAAAACAAGAAAACACATTAGATATTTCACAAATTATAATATATAATGGTAATTTTACAGCATCACACAGCCATCCAATCTAGCAATCCTTATTCCTTCTTTCAATTATCAATGCTGTATCCATAAATCTGTAATATCCATTATCTCTTTGTTATTTTCCATCGCATATATAATGAAATTATAGGTAATATTTAGAACTGACTTTATCCCTCTGAGCTTAAGTCCCTATAATCCACCCACATTGTCATGAGAGCTGAAAACCTTGCTAAATCGGGGCCTTTGGCCTCAGACCCAATCCAATCAACGTATTTCCTTGTCGGGGGTTCAGCCTCCGGACCTCC